AACTGCAACAAAAAAATAGCCAGGCATTGTGGCGGGTGCCTGTGGTCCCAGCTACTTGGGAGGCTGAAGCAAGAGAATCATCTAAACCCAGGAGTTGGAGGTTGCTGTGAGCTGTGACAGCATAGCACTCTACCAAGGGCAATAAGTGAGACTCTGTCTCTTAAAAAAAAAAATAAATAAATTAATTTTTTAAAAAGTCATTGCTGGCTCCACACCTGTAGCACAATGGTTATGGCGCCAGCCACATGCACTGAGGTTGGTGGATTCGAGCCTGGCCCAAGCCAGCTAAACAACAATGACAACTGCAACAAGAAAATATCCAGGCATTGTGGTGGGCACCTATAGTCTCAGCTACTTGGGAGGCTGAGGCAAGAGAATCGCTTAAGCACAAGAGTTTGAGGTTGCTATGAGCTGTGATGCCACTGCACTCTACTGAGGGTGACACAGTGAATCTGTCAAAAAAAAAAAAACAGTCAGGGCTTATAGCAGGAGCCTGTAGTCCCAGCTACTCAGGAGGCTGAGGGAAGGGAATTGCTTTAGCGTAAGAATTTGAGGTTGCTGTGAGCTATGTTATCACAGAGCTCCACGAAGGGCAAGAAAGCGAGACTCTGTATCCCCCCACCCCCAAAAGTCATTGCTCCTTCTTCCTTAAATCACTCACTCTGGGGAAAACCAGGCCCCAGCAGGGCACTTTTAAGCAGTGCTACACAAAGATCCACAAGGCAAGGAACTAATGCCTCCTGCTAACTGCTGGCACCAGCATACCAGCTAAGTTTCAAGTTTCTTACATAGATTAAGTATTTTATCTCTCTGCTGGTATTGAAAATGGAGTATTTTCTTTGCATATATTTTCTCTTTTTTTTGTGGGAAGGGCTTCCTCATTCTTGAATATAAAGGCATCTTCTAACATACTTTCTAACAGGATGGTGTTTGTCTATGGAAAAGTAGTTTGCATCCAATTATCTTTTTGAATTCTCTTATCTTTTAGTACACATATATAGGTTTTTAGTTTATCACTTTGGATTTTCCCAGTACACAATCTTAGCCTCTGTAAATAATAATACTTATACTGCCTCTTTACTTTTTCTTTCTTTCTTTTTTTTTTTTAAAGAAAAGCCCTGAAAGTTTCCACTTTATTTTTATTTTTTTGTAGATTTTTGGCCAGGGCTGGGTTTGAACCCGCCACCTCTGGTATACAGGGCTGGCACCCTACTCCTTTGAGCCACAGGTGCCACCCTTCCTCCTCTATTTCCATCCTATTTCTGTTTCATATTGAATTTTTTCAGTTAACATCTTCAGGATAATAATAAAATATTAATGGTGATTTTTCACCATTAATAAAAGATGATGGCTTTTGGTTAAGGAGAGAGAAATACGTAGTATTAGCATGTTGAGAAATAATTCTTATTTTCTCACAAGTTCTGGTCAAGATAGAGCCTTGAATTATCCAATACCTTTCCAGCAACTATAGAGGTAATTAGATAATTTTTCTCTTATGATATATTAACAAAGTAAAATTATATTAATTTTCTAATTAAATCATCATAGTAAAGAATATTTATAATACTTTTTATTTATATGAATAAACTTATTTATAAGTTATTATATGCTCATTATACCAGTCAAACCAATAAAGCCATTATACTTTCAAATAAATATGGTAGAAAAAAACTCACCCTTTTCTTTGCCTCCTTTTCTCAAATTTCAACAATAAAAACCAAATAATTTTTTGGTTATGTTCTTAAACTTATTCCCTAACAACTTTGTATGGAATTAGCTGGCTCCAAAATATATTATTTCATTCAAACAAATCAATGAAAATTAAACTTTTAAACAGTTTAATAAATTTTGACTCACATGTTTTGCCTCAAAAGGATCATATGGGTCAGTATTGACTTCTTGGTATGTTATGTTCCAGGAAACCTATGGGGCAAAGCAAACATTTAAATTCAATTTATTTCAACTGTTAGCGTAAAATAGAATGTTTATAATTTTTAAAGGTTTTTCTTTTCTAATTTAGATTACATTTCATACTTCCCATATTAGGACAGTTACTTGGAATCAGTATAACTGAAAATAATTGTGGTTCATTATCTTAACATGTTTTCTTTAAAGCCTCCAAGGAAATAAAAAACATAATGAGGCGCCATTTAATAAGGCTTTAATATAAACTCACACTCTATAAAGGTAACCATAAAAAACCCCTCCGTTCATTCTCATGCTTGTCAGAAGAAAACTCTTAAACATATTCTTCTTGTTTCTATCTGGTTGTCTCTTTTTAACATCCTTATTCCTCCTCTGGTTGTGCAGGAGAAGCTGGGCATGTAGAGTCCAGACTCTTCCCTTTCTCCCTGCTCTGCAGAGCTGCCAGCACACTTTCCTTTCCTCCTCCATGCAGGCAGTCCTTTGCGATAGGCACCCCAGACTGGGGGGCCTGCTAGCCTGACCTTCCTGTGACTGGTAGGCAAGGTGGGTGACGTGAGCATGTGCACTTTCCTATGCAAATAGCCTATCCTCCTACTGCACCTTTAATTATTGAGGCCATGTTTTGGCTCCATCTGCTGACTCCTTTATCTCATTTCTCAATTTATATACACTTTGAATAGGGGAGAAGGATATTATTTACTGGACTCAAATTCTTTCTGACAATTATCTGTCATACCTCACAAAAAGGTAGATATTTTAAAAATATTTAGGGAAAAGCTCCAGCAACCATTATAAAGGAAATCAACTTTAAGGATTTTAGTAAATATAATGGCAATATAAAATAAAATGGAAAATTTAACTTTAGTATGACGAAGACTTTTTCTAAGCAAGTCTTACCTGTATAGCAACAGTCTGTGTATGTAGAATATCTGTTACTGCATTGGTACTTTCCAGATTTACTTCACATTCATTGTTAGAATTCTCACAGTGTCCACCATTTCTGTTAGACTCACTTGGGGCCATATCAGCATCATCCGTGCTGCACTGTGACTTTACAGATGTTCCCAAAGAGTCCTCAAAGATCTGTGTTCCCAAAGCAATCTGGTTACAAGTGGCATTTTCAGTATTCAAATGATGACCCTCAAAATACGCAGCAGGATTTTTGTCTGCTCTGTCATCAGCTACAAAAGATGATACCACGGGTACTGGTGTTTGCAGCTGATATTCAGAAGAAATGCTGGCCAAAGGTGTGTACAGGCCAGCATACCGGGGCAAACTTGTTAACACGTTTATGTAGGCTGGAGCTGCCTGGGTGATGTCAAATCCATGAAAAGGAAGATACGTGCAGTATCCTGTGACCAAATGGGATTGAGTCCAGTAGGTTGGTTTCACGTCCTCAGGAACTGGTTTAGGAGAATCAGAGGCAGCTTGCTGGTGATTTGCATCCTCCAAGACTGGTCTGGGAGAATCAGCAGTGACCTCATTGGGTTTCCCATCCTCAGAAACTGGTTTAGAAGAATCATCAGATACCAGTTTGGGCTTCAGATCTTCACAAGCGGGTTTGGGAGAATTAGCAGGCACAGGTTTGGCCTTCACATCCTCAGAAGCTGATGATGAAGATAAATCAGACACTGGTTTGGACTTTCCATCTGGTTTAAATTCCCGAGCAGCTGGATTCAGTGGCAGTTTAACTCGTAAATACTCTCCTGTTTTTGAAATTTCTTCTACTTTTGTTTTAATGTTTTTCTTCTTTCTTTTCTTCTTGAGCCGTAACGCAACTTTCTTCAGTGCAATACAGTTGTCAATCACAACAAAACGAGGACATCCCAGGAGAAAAGATTTTAAACCGCCTGCTTTTTCTAGTATCTGTCGTGTTTCTTCTGGGAAAAACTCATATTCTTCAGAGAACATCTTGTTACTCATGTCCAAAGGACCATGTTCCTCCAACAACTGAGAGAAGTAACTTGGAAAAAATTTACATTTACATGAGTTACTATAATGAAGTTCTCACAAATATTTAAATGAAAAAAAGTTTATTCTCCCAAAGCAAAATACAACTATTTCACTTCTCACTGATCTCAACTCTTCCCCAACAAGAAACATAAGGTTAACTGCAATGAATGATACTATAAACAAAATTTTGTCTTCTCTTTGTAAATAAACCTTTGCTTCTTTTTCTCTTGAGAAGCAGCAAAATGGAATAAAAAATTAACTTATAAATTTCAAGTATATAATTATTCAATCTATTTAAAAGCCAATAAACAAGAAAATTTACTCAGGAAAAATAACAAGAATGTCAAGGAAATCAAATCTCATTTAAAAAAAGAATCTTATTTGAATTTGCAAATAGTAAATCTATTAATTTTTTTCTGTATAGGAATGTTCAGTGATTCAGAAGGACTGAAATTGATCATGTCTGACCAATAAACCAATAAAGTTCAAGAACCACAGTGATGGGCCCTTAGTCTGTCTGAGTCCAGAACTGAACTGGGTTTATTCATTCCAGCTCTGAGTCCATTTCCTTTCCTACTCTTGCATCAGACTCAGGGAGGCTTCTTCTTACAACTGAATTCTGTATTCTCTCTGTAATAGTGGCATAACTAGAATTAAAGTCACACCAGGCTCCCACTGAGGAGCTGGCTCCAAAGGGGCTATCTTAGTAAATTAATGAGGGTTTTTTTTGTTTTTTGTTTTGGAGACAAGAGTCTCAAACTGTCACCCTGGGTAGAGTGCCATGGCATGGCGTCACAACTCACAGCAACCTCAAATTCTTGGGCTTAAGTGATTCTCTTGCCTTAGCCTCCCAAGTAGCTGGGATGAAAGGCACCTGCCACAATGCCCAGCTATTTTTGTTGTTGCAGTTGTCATTGCTGTTTTAGCTTGCCCGGCCCAGATTCGAACCCACCACCCTCAGTGTATGTGGCTGGCGCCCTACTGACTGAGCGGCAGGCGTCGCGTAAATTAATGTTAACAAAACAGACAACTTATTTAGAAAGAGGGTAAACACAGCACTGCTTTGAATCAAGAGAAAATAATTTTTCATGCAGATACTGCTGCAGATAAATGCATAAGACAGTTAAAATTATTATGCTCTATTTGAAGCCCTACTCTAATAAAAACCAAATGCCACTTCTCCTTGTCAGCACTGTCACTCTATATACAGTAAAGTCACTCCAAAATCTCTCTTAATGTGTCTTTTTAAAATAATTATTTCAGGGTTGGCGCCTGTAGCTCAGTGGCTAGGGTACCAGCCATATGCACTGGAGCTGGTGGATTCAAATCCAGCCCAAGCCCGCCAAACAACAATGACAACTGCAACCAAAAAAATAGCCAGCACTGTGGCAGGCACCTGTGGTCCCAGCTACTTGGGAGGCTGAGGCAAGAAAATCACTTGAGCCCAAGAGTTTAAGGTTGCTGTGAGCTGTGATGCCACAGCACTCTGCCAAGGGTGACATAGTGAGACTCTGTCTCAAGAAAGGGAAAAAAAAATTATTTCAGATTAATCTGAGGGTACAAATTAGGTTACAATGTTTGCCTTTTGTTAGGTAAAGTTCCAGTTACAACAGAGCCCTTCACCCAGGGGTGCGCTGTATACTCTTACGCTGCGCCCATTAGGTGTCTTGTAATATGTCTTACAATGAATATTTTTCTCTTACAATAATCACTACAATTCAAACTACCCTATATATGTGCTGTTTTGCAAAGTAAGGTAAAACATAGCTTTGCTTTAAGACTCCCATCAAACTACATTTTTATAGAGAAATCTCTAAAAGCAGAAAGTGGTGAGGGAGAATAAGGTAAAAAGAAATAAAGCGCTGTAGTCCTGGGAACACCAATCACTGTTGAGGTTCTGGGTGATCAGCCTCAACCATCTGTCCAAAGAGAGACACCTTTCAATCACTGTTAAGTTTCCATTATGCATTGACAGAGAAACTGATGAATGGTATACGTGTATTTGCCTGTTTTTTTTTTTTTTTTTTTTTTTT